TGAAAGTTGTTTGCAGCTGGGCATGGTGGCGCATGCCTGTAATCCCAGCAGCTCAGGAGGCTGAGGCAGGAGGATTGGGAATTCAATACCAGCCTCAGCAATGGCGAGGCACTAAGCAACTCAGTGAGACCCTGTTTCTAAATAAAATACAACAAAGGGCTGGGGATGTGGCTCCGTGGTTAAGTGGCCCTGAGTTCAATTCCCAGTACCAAAAAAAAAAAAAAAAAAAAAAAAAAAGAAAAGAAAAGAAAAAAAGTTGTTTGCAATAACCAACTTGGATTGGTACTAGAGGCCTGAGTTATAGATACACATTTGTGAGTCATCTATGTAATGGTTGTATCGGAAACTTGTACATGAAATATAAAATGAAAAGAGACCTAGGATTGAACCTGAGAAATTTATAACATTTAATGGCTGAGTAGGAGGAGATGAACCTGAAGGAAGTGATAGAGAAATTTCTGTAGATAGGAGAAAAATCAGGTAAACTTGTGTTTTAAGGAGTGATACTGTTGAATGCTGTGGAGAGGTAAGGTCAGATAAGGACTAAAACATGTTCATTGGGTTTAATAACATGAGATCATTGTCATCCTTAACAAGAGCAAGTTTTATTGTGTAATGAGGTTGGAAGGCAGATTGAAGTAAATTGAGAAATGTGGTAGGAGTTTGGGCACCTGTTTTAGAAATCAGGTTGGCTAGAAGCAGAGTAAGACAGTGATGGAATGAGACTTTCCAGCAATCCTCTTCCCACAGAAATATCAATTTGAACACCAATTTATGCTCAGAAATAACCTTCACAAGAGCTAAGGAAAMCAGTCCAGATGGTAGCATAATAATGAAAGAATTATCGAAGAAGGACAGAAGCAGAGTTGTTCCTGTTACCTTTCCCCCAACTCCAAGCAGGGCAGCATAGAGAATTCGTTCTTCTCGGGGAGGAACAATCCAGCCTAAGAATTGTAATCCTGGTTTACCACAGTGAAACCCAGTACCAACCAGAGCTCCATACTCTTACACCCAGGCCAGTGCCTATGAATGGAGCCTCTGAACCCACTCTAGACTGACCACCGTGGGTCTGCCTCCACCTTTCCTTGCCACAACCTTGGACAGCACAGAGTAGAGAAAGACTCCATCTGCTGGGAAAGAGGAGAGGTAAGTACAAGATTTTGTCTTGGGATTAAGCATCAAGTCTGTACAACCCTACATCTGGTAGACTCCAGTGTCCCCTGTTTCCAGGGAAGTGCCCCTGGATAGAGCCTCTGGACTTGTTCCAGTGCCAGGTGGATACCCATGGCTCCAGTAGAACTAACTTGTATTCTTGTTAGCATTACCAGATCGGAGGGATGAGAGAAATATGTTGACAAATAGGGATTTTTAGTGTCTAGGAAAGATTGATTCCTTCCTCCCTTCCTCCCTCCTTCCCTCCCTCCCTTTCCCTCTTTTCCTCCCTCCCTTTCTTTCTCTCTCTTCCTGCCCTCTTTTCTTTCTACTGGTAGAGATTTCACCAAGTTAAAAACTTATGGTCAAGAGCTAACTGAATGGAAAAGGATGAATACACCTAAGAGGAAAGGAATACTTGATATTTTAACATTCCTGAGGAGGTGAAAGGAGATGATACTCAGGACGAGGAGGAAATGGCTTTATGGAAGAGACGAGATAGCTTCTGTTATGCTTTGAATGTGAGGTGTCACTGTCACCCAAAAGCTCATGTGTGACAAAKCAAGAAGATTTAGAGGAGAAATTATTGGGTTATGACAGCCTTAACCCAATGGATCCCCTGATGGGACAGTTATGTGGCTGGAGGAGGTGGGTCATTGGGGGCTGCCTTTGGGGTATATATCTGATATCTGGCAAGTGGAATCTCTCTCTGCTTCCTGATCATCCTATGAGCTGCCTCCCTCCCCCACATTGTTCCACCATGATATTCAGCCTCACACTGAATTTTGAGGAATGGAGCTTGTGGTCTGTGGATTGAGACCTCTGACACTGTGAGCCCCCAAATAAACTGTTCCTCCTCTGCAGTGAAAATGTAAGTGGGGTCATATGAAATATGACCACATGGAATTTGAAGTATTTTGTTCTGATGGCTTTTTAATTTTCCATATACCATGTGTTGGTCATTACAGTTGGGCATTACATTAGGGGCTTTATAGAAATAATTTAATTTTCAAACTATCCTATCGTAACAATTCTCATTTTGCTTTTGAGTAAACTGAAGCTTAGGTTAGAAACTTGCTCACAGTTTTGACCTAACAAATGATAGAACCAATAGTTACAATCATATCTGTTTGACTACAAAGACTATGTATAGAGTGGATTGGATGCATACAAAGAATATACCAAAGGAAAAAAATCAATGTCTTGTGAATAATTATTTATAAGAGATGAGGATAATCACATAAAATAACAATTTTCATGTGTTGATTCTTAGGAAGTGTCAGAAAGACAGGAATATTAGAGAGGAAGATATAATTTTGGATTTGGGTCAAGTTCAACCTGAATTCATAAAAGTAGAGTGGAATGATGGTTGCCAGTGAGAGGGGAAGTGGAAAGTGGGAATAGGGAGATTTTGGTCAAAGGGTATGAAGTTTGAGTTAGGCAGATGAAAAGTTATGGTGTAGCATGCTGACTATAGTTAATTACACTGAATTGCATACTTGATATTTGCTAAGAGAGTAGATCTTAAATGTTCATGCCACACACACAAATCATAACTATATGAAGTGGTGAATATGTTATACAAATTAATTTGATTGTGATAATTATTTCATAATTGCTATGGCTTGGACATGGTTTGAGGGCGTTCCCCAAGGCTTCATGGGTTGAAATTTACTCCCCATTGTGAGATACTAACAGGGTGGAACAATTCAAGTACAGAGTCCATAGGTGGGGCCTTTGGAAAGTGATTAGGATTAGATAAATTCGTAGGAATAGTGCCTCCATGACTGACTCCTGGTGCTGTTTAAGAAGAGGTTGAGAGACCAGAAGAGACAATCATACATGTGGGCACTCCCTGTCTCTTGCTACATGATACCTTGTGCAGCCTCAGGACTTTTTGCCACCAAAAAGGCTTTCCTCAGATGTGGCCCCTCAATCTTGGAGAGATCTGTAAGCGAAAATAAACCAACTACTTTTCTTTGTAACTTCTCCAGTTTTGTGTCATGTTTTATTAGCAACAGAAAACAGACTATTTCAATAATATACATATCAAACTACTATGTTATACTCTGTAAGTATACCATTTTTTTTGTTAATTATACCTCAATAATGCTGGAAAAATAAAGGTTTTCTTTCTCACACACAAATAAATATGGTAAGTTCTTAAATCATCAGAACCTAAATTAGATTTGATGGTTCACTAGTGATCAATATTACAACACATTATAATAAAATATACATATGATATGTACTTAAGAAAAGCTTGTTTTTCATTTTAATCTATGAAATGATTTAGTATGTGTCGGCTTAAGGCAATTATTGATATTATTTCACATGTCCACCAGAAATAAAAGATTCAAGAGGGATGGAGCGCAGTGGTAGAGAGCCTGCTTAGCATACTTGAGGCCGTGGGTTCAGTCTCCAGAACAACAAGGGATTGAGGCAAATTGTTTACATTATTTTTTCTTCACTCTTCACTTCCACATGCAAAATCTAAAACATAAATTACCTAGTGATGACAGTTTTAGGCAGAAAATATGCTTTATTTGCAACAACAAATGAGGTAGTCATAAAATTATGTTTACTAAAACGTGTTTGAATTATGCTTTTCAAAGAAGTAAAATGCTGAATTCAACACTGAATTCTGATTCATGAGTTTCTTATTGTCATGTTAAAGTTAATTTTATTGCTATTCTCCAATTTTTGTCTAAAGCCATTATGTTAGAAGAGGGCTGGATAGTCTTTGAAGTTAACACTAGGTTGCAAGGCAGCGGGAGAGTTCACGACAGACCCCCAGTGTTTTTTTGAGTCCTGTCTCACCCAGCACTCACTCCTGTGGTTCTCTTTTAGGCGCCCCGGATGGTGCGATCGCCACCCTGTTCTCGCCGGTAGCGGGATCTCGCTCTTCCACGCGATCTGCTTCCTGCTGCGTGCTCCGCGGGGTCTACCCACGCTGACGCCAGGGGGCGAGGGCAGGACGGGGCTCCAGCCCTTGGAGTTAGGTTTGGGGTCACGTTCCTGGCGACCCGGGCCCTAAGTGGAATTTGGGACCCTAAGGAAAGAGGGTATGGACGGTGGGAAAAGGAACCGTGTGTGGTGGTTTCTGAGGAAAGCGGCGGGAGTGGCTGCCTGGCCCTACTCCGGAGAACTACCCGCGACGTGGCGCATCCCGTGGCGGGCGCTTGACGCGAGCGGCGTCGTGGTTGGCTTGTGGTGGGCAGAGGCCAGCAGCGCTGCCTGAGGGGAGGGCAGGCCAGCGAATTCCCGCCACAAGTCTTGGCTGCAAGTCGCGAGCGGCCCCTCRGGTCTACGGGGAGCCAGAGCTGCGAACCCCGCCTCTGGCGTGTTCCGTACAGCGAGTTGGCTCTCGTGTGAATTTTTTTTTTTTAATTATTGGGGGGCAAATTGGTAAATGTAAACCTGCACCACTTTTCTAGGTTTTACCTTGCTGTTGGTGAAGGACTTTCACTGCGCAGGGCAGTACACACGCCAAGCAGGGACATATTCAGATATTTATTTTACAGGGCACGCCCTTTTGAGAAGTCTAGGTGTCTGGATCCCCGCAGATTCAAAGACTTACTGCARTACCAGGAATAAACAATTATGAAGGCGCCCACCCTTGCCCCTAGTCTCAGTCATGCAACAACGTTCAGCAGCTGCCTAAGTGTCTCTTAGGGCTCTACCAGGAAGGTGGCTGTGGACTGAAAACGTCTCTTACCCTCTATCTTGCTCCATCCACATTTTTTTTTTTTGTGAGAATGTTATATTTAAAAAGTTGTTACTGAATATACATGTGTATTTTCATTTTATATTCACTTATTTTTTATTTTCTTTACATAGTATCCAAGATGAATGACAGCCTCTTTGTCAGTCTGGACAGACTTTTGTTAGAATTTGGTAGGTATAAAATGAAAATAAATAGGTAACTGTATTATTATTCGACATTTTAACARTGAAGTAAAGTCACAAGAGAATTGTTTTAGTTTTCCAGTATGAGCAAGATATAAGTACTAAAGAAGACATGATTCAAAGAATTAATAGTAAGTAGTTTTGCATGTTAAAGATGTATTTGTCTTAATTTTTTATGACATATAGCATAATATATAATTGCCCTGTTTAGGGCAACTTGTAGTTGGCATTGTAACTCTTCTGGAAATTCTCTACTAATTTATTAGTATAAATTCTCTACTAATTCTGGAAATTCTCTACTAATTCTCTCCACTAATAATGAGCTTTTTAGCCTAGGCAAAATAGTTGTGATTCACCTACTGTTTTTCAGTAATTTTGTGTATTCTGCATTTAATTATTTTGTGAAGAATTTTGCTTTAAGCAGCAATGATCCCTAAGGTGCAGTTAAAAAATGTTATATTTCTCAAATAACAAGGTTACTTCAAATATTTGAGTGAAATGTTTCTCTTTAAAGAAATCATCAAAAATTAGGAACCAGGATTGATGCCACATTTTCAGGAATAATAATTCTGAAATAAGTGAATTGGCTAGTAAATATAAGTGAAGTGGCTGGGCAAATTAAATAAATATAATGTTTTAAATATTTTAGTTCTAAAAATATAACTATTAACTTCTTAATTGTCACAGAAAGATTGAATTTGGTTATTTTTTTCTACAATCAAAAAATAAAGTATTATGAAATTATTTAATATTTTCAAGAACTAAGTTTATCTTAAATCATTGTAAATAAGTTAGTTGATGGTGTATTTAATAATTAATTGATAGAAATTATGTATTTGTCAATAACAAAATCCTTATGAGTAAACATTTGCATGAATTTATAGCATCATAAGATGAATTGACCTTAAGTGTCACCTAATCTAGCCCATTGGACATTCTTCAATTGCAAATACAAATCCTCCCTAGTTTCTGGGGGGCTGTGGTTTTCTACTTTTTAGTACAGGAGCCTTCCCTTCTCAAGCCTCATTTCCTCTCCTTTCTGGCTGTCCTCCTTTTAGGTAAGTTACCATAAACTTTTTTTTCTTACTGTATTTGTTTATTTTGAATTTATAATTTCTACCTTAAGAAAATAAACATTTCCTCTTTTAGAATGCTTTGAAGACATAAAAGAAAACAAATCAACTATTTGTAAGATACATGAAACTATAAATACAACAGATGAGGAAATTGCTCATTATTGTAAACATAGTAATGAAATCAAAGACAACTGTAGTAAGTGAGTATTTGAAAGAAATGAACTTTCAGTAATTGTCATTTGATTTTTTTATTCAAGATTTCTAGGTTTATAGTTGAAGACACCATTGCTTGTTTTGTTTTGGTTTGGGTTTTTGGTATTGGGGGTTGAACTCAGGGTCTTCCTTGTACATGCTAAGCATGTTCTCTACCATTGCCCTAAGTGCTGAATTATGAGATTTCAGTAACTTAGATATAGTTAGTATAAATAAAGAATTTTAGTGTAGTCTATTTAAGTCCTATTAGTCTGAAATAATTTCCATTTTTTGACTTTTCAAGATCTTACTGTTTTTGTTTATGTGGTGCTGGGAATCAAATCCAGGGCCTTATGCATGATAAGCAAGTGCTACCTTGATATATGATAGACAAGAACCACTGAGCTACACTCTGGCTTAAGATCTTAGTTTGTATAAGGGAATCCAACCTAAAACTTTGAAAGATAAAATACTTCTTTTGAGAAATATCTCTCTAGGTCTTTTGTCCAATTTCTAATCAAGTTATTTCTTTTCTTGCCATTGAATTGTGTGACTTCTACTTCAACCATTTTTATGATAGGAAAATATTGGAAGTAACTCTAAATGTTCAACATTAAGGGACTGGTTAAATGAATTTTGGTATATCCAGATGACTGAACACTAGGCAGCCAATAAAATCATGATATAGGTGTATGTTTGACATGGGAAAATGTTAATAGTATATTGCAAATTGAACAAAGCAGTTTATGCATCATTATTCATAATATGAACCCAATGCATGATAATATATCTATATCTAAGAAAAACCTCAAAGGATGCACATTGAAAAGCTTATAGTGAATATCTTCTAAGTGAGCATATGTTTCTTATGGAATTTTTAAATACTCAGAAAATATGCGTGTATAATCTTAGACCTTCAGATTTCCTTTTGGGGAATATATTTTAAATATCAGAAATTAAGGGGTTAAATTAAATTATATCTCAGTTGGTAGAGTGCTCACCTGGAATGCATAAGGCCCTGGATTCAATCCCCAGCACCACAAAAAAAAAAAAAAGAAAGAAATTAAGACAAATATTTAAGTACAATTTCAGTAAGTGATAAAGGAGGATAAATTTTATGTGAATATGATCTCAGTAATGTTAAAATATATAACTGTAGCAAAATCTTGAAACAATTTTAAAATCATAGTAGTTATTTAATATTGAGAATATGTATGATAGTTTCTTATGTATACTCTTCTGTGCTTCCAAATGGGCATATGTACTTTTGTTTTTCTTTTTCATTTTGCATATGTACTTTTTGAATTTGGGAAAAAAATGAAAATAGAGGAAATATTCAAACAATACTTAGAATGGAAGCTGCCATGGTATATATAGTAATTTTAGTTTTTTTGTATTGGTAATAGTTTTCAAGTTATATAATAAAACAAAAATATATAAGGTGAATATTCATTTTATTCTATCTGATTTGATARCCTATTTTGGCCTAGTTTCAGCCATGCTATATTTTCTTCTTTCCCTGTCATATCTCAAAAACAAATTTTATGTAAAAATTAATGAATATTAATATTTGAGMATATGAGTGTGTGGATATTGATAGTGAYGGGGATAGGATATGCAATTTTTTTCTTTTTTTATACTGTTGTATTTATTTTAAAAATMGGTTCATATTAATTATACAGAGTAGTAGATTTCATTGTGGCATAGGGAATGTTTTCTTGATGTAAACTTGTTTTCTTAGGAAGACACATTCATTTCTCTTTAAATGATTTTGTTCATTTTTTATTATCTCTGCCAATTTTTTTATTTGTTTATCATTCTGAAGTGCTAATTACAACTATAACTTTTTTCCATAGCTGGAAGCCAACATGTGATGTTTTTCATAAACATGAAGATTATATGCAGGACCAATTTACTATTTATCAAGAAACCATTGAAAAAGACAAGTACAGTATTTATATTAACTTAATAAGTGTATCAGTTCTATAAATTAGTATTACTGGAACATACTTTGTAAGAATTTAAAAAGTGTGTATTCTGAGGGAATATTTTTTTAAGTAAATGTGATATCTTGGACTGAATCATTGAAGGTCTCCATATTTGTTGTAAAAGCTTGAATATGTTGAGATATTGCCTTAGATATAAACCATTTATCTATCAGCAACATTTATAGCAAAGTTCTTCAATTAATGGTATTTATGACTAAACAGTGTAGGCAAACATTTAGGAGGATAATTATTTGTAGAATAAACATTTTGAAAAATTTGAGGTATTGGTTTTTTAAAGGTATTTTGTATCAAATTTCAAGTTTTTCAGATTGCTAATTTAGTAAAGTGGTTATATTCTAATGGAGAAATACCAGTAGTTATATGAATTTATTTTACTTCGTGTAAAAGCATATCATCTTAGGGATTAAATGTAATTAATGAATGTAATAAAACAAGGTTAGAGACTTTGAACATGATATATATAGCATTAAAATTTTACCTAATTTTAAAAACTGAAGTGATTTGAGGAGAACACTTATCAGTTTTTAYATTTTACTTAAGAAACACATATGTTGAAGGCCTTGTGGTGCATACCTATAATCCTAACAAGTTGAAGGTTGAGATAGGAGGATCACAAGTTCAAGGGCAGCTATAGCAACTTAGTGAGACCCTAAGCAACTTAGCAAGATACTCTCTCAAAAATAAAAAATAAAAAAATAATGCCGTGGATAAAGCTCAGTGGTAAAGCACCCTTGATTTCAGTCCCCAATATCAAACAAAAGCCCCTCCTAAAATAACTACCCATGTAAAATCTATAATCCATTATTTTCAAAGTTGAGTCTTAGGTTAGAACTAAAGTTTAAAATTGGGACTTAATGGCATTAGAAATCTTGTATGTAGATGAGGTTTCTCAGGAAAATATATGGAGCAAAGTGGAGAAAGGCAAAAGTATGCTATCATCCAAAGAGTAGACAGAGGGTGGAAAAGATGAAGGAGACTATTAGGTTGTCATTTATAGATCCTGCTTCAATCCCAAAAGAATTTGAGATATTTGTATAAAAATACCACAGTGTTTAAAAAAAATCAAGGCTACATGTGGTCCTGCATATTGTTTGTTAAAAGTACAGATTAGGCTTTGAAATTCTAGTAGTCAAGGCATTGATCAAGAAATATGATCAGAGTATTCATTTAAAAAAATTCAATTAGAGGCTGGGGGTGTGACTCAATGGTAGAACATTTTCCTAGGATGCTCAAGGCCYTGGTTTTAATCCTTAGCAGTTTACTTGCTTAGGATAAGTTATGAAGTTTTTCCCGAGACTTGAGAGAAATTTCTCTCCTGGGTCTTCAAAAAGGGGAAATTGGGGAGTGTGGTAATATTTTCAGTAAATTCTTTCAAAAAAGTCCCCGTTTTTAATGTTTTTATTAATGCATTAAGTTATACATAATAGTGGTATTCATTTTGACATATTCATAAATGCATATAATTTCCTTCATTTCAACAATCAGTACTGAGGAAGTAGGAAGGAAGTAGGGGCACTAGCTACTTATTTCTGATCTCCCATTCTTGTTCTGAGTATTCATGAAGACTAGTACTGCTAGAATAAATTAGATAATAATGACTTTCTGAATCATGACTTAGCTATGCTGTGTTCTGCCAAAGTTTCTATATGGAAGATGTTAGAAGTGGATATGACTATATAATATGAACAAGATGGAATATGGTATGCTAATCTCATATGAAACAGGTGACCCAGGCCTAATTTTTCAATGGTATTTCTCTTCTCCCTGGACCATTTTCCCAAGTTATTATATAAGTGGGGTCTTAATTGATAAATATACATTTAGAAGAATAGGAACTTATTTGGGGCTCAACTGCTTTATCTTGCTAAAGGGGACAGAGTTTAGCAATACTAAAAAATTAGATCATTCTTAAAATTCAGACTGTTGACCCAGTACTTATTAATCATTACTTATGAAACCAGAAGTTTTAAGAATACTTGCTCCTATTCTCTGCTAAGGAGAATAATCATTATAGCATCTTTTAAGAAATTTCTTGATCCAAGAAATAAAATCTTGAGGAATATAAGGACTATATATTTTCAAAAAGTTTACTATGAATATTATTTTTGAAACCAGAATTTGGTAAAAAGAGGATTCAGGAATATATTTTCTGTAGGATTGGGATGTATAGCTCAATGAGTGAGGCTCTTGGTGCAGTCCCTAACACTGAGGCTGAGGGTATATTTTCTGTGAAGAACTGTATTGAGTACTTTCAGTGTTATAGATCAGGATTGGCAAACATTTTTTGTAAAATACCAGATAGTAAGTATTGTAGCTCAACTCTACTAKGTGGTACAAGATGGCTTTAGGCCATATATAAATAAATGAGATATGATCCAATAAAACCTTATTGGACAGTGAAATTTGAACTTCATATAATTTTATTATGTCATGGAGTATAKTTTGAGTTTTTTTCAATAATTTTAAAACCATTCTTAGTTCACAGACAACAGAGGATGGATTAGATTTGGCACATAGGCAGCCTGGGGATGTAGCTCAGTGGTAGAGCACTTGCTTAACATGCAAGGCTCTAGATTCAATCCTCAGTATCTCCTCCCCTACCCCATCACAAAGTTTTGGTACATAGGCAGTAGTAATCAACTCCTTTGTCCGTATGGGTCAAATAAGAAAGAAGTCTTAATATTCTTTTGTAAGAATAATGCCTCACTTATGACTTGTGCCTAAATAGATGGTCACCCATTATTAGTTGAGTTGATATAGAAGAGTTCCTCCAAACGGCTCAAATTTTCTTCATAAGAATACTTGTGGGGTATACATGAATGATTATGAACCCAGAGTTTTAACACATAGAACGTGACTTCATGTAATAATTTCAGCTAAAGAAAATTACAGGAGATTTAAAAGGCATAGTTACAGAGGTCAGAACCCAGGGAGCATAGATATTTAAGAAGGTATAACTGATATTGGCCAAATTATATTGTTATATCCTGTGCATGAATGAATATGTAACAACAAATCCCATCATTATGTACAACTGTAATGCACCAATAAAAAATGTGGGGAAAAAAAGGTRTGACTAAAAGAACCCAGTTCTGCAATGTCATTTAGGATGAACATGAAAAAGAGATCATTTGATTGGACAATTTAGATYATTGATGACAGTGGAAAGAATAATGTCATTATACTGGTGGGAGTGGAAGTTAAATTGAAGAAGATTAACCAGGTGAGGAATAAAAAAAGTATAGCTGAGAAGTGTCTTGGGGTTAAAGAAAGTTGAAGGACAGACAATAATGAGGGAAATACAGACAAATAGATGTTTGAATTGCTTTTCATACTTAATTTAAGAGACTTTAACAAGTGATATTTATTAGGTTTTTAGATCTATTCTACATCATTTATTTTTAACAGAAAAATGTATCATGATTATGTATGTCAGTATAAAGAAGTTTTGAAGCAATACCAACTAAAATATTCAGAAACACCCTTTTCACGTGAATATTATGAGAAGAAAAGAGAACATGAAGAAATTCAAAAGAGAGTGTTGGCATGTTCTGAACAACTAAAAATGAATGAAACTATTCTTATGGAATTTCTAGGTATTAACCTTTCTGTAATATGTTGCTTTAATTATTATATCTTTGTACTGAGAAGAATATAATAAATCAGTCTCAACTATGACTTTTTTTCAGTGCCTGCACCCTTTCCATCACTTACCAAGTGGACATTACACATGTATCCACAATAGTATTTCTGTTTATAATTTTATTAGATAAGTATTGTTTCTGTATTTTAATTATTATTTTGTTTTCCTGGTGAGAGCTTCATAGATTTGTTTTTGAGTTTAATTCAGATTTTAAAGGTCACTTTAAGGTCTTTTGGGATTAGTTCTCATGTACATGTGATCAAAAGCAAGTAATTTTAAGGGGAATAAAATTGTATATGTATTTGGCTTTAAAGTGGCATATCAACAATCAAACTAATGAAAATGTCATCTTGCTTTGTCTTATCAAAGAAGTTCTGATTAAATTGATTAATTATTACTTGTTATGATAGATGGTGGTAAGGAAGTGAGTCAACAATTATTCRCTAATATTTAAAAATTCATTGGGTACTTACCTTGTGTCAGGCAGTACTGAAGAAATTATAAAGCTCTCTTGCAAGGAGCTCACAGTTTAGTAGAGGAGAAAGACAAATAAAGAATTCTAATACAGTATCACTGTAATAGATGCTTAAGTAATTCTTAATTGGTCTAAGTCTCACCTGTTTGTCAGAGAGATCTTTCCTGATTCTGAACTTGAAACTTTAATCCTCTTTCAACCTCCACAATCCTTTATATGCTTTTCTATCAGATTATAACTCCTATGTTTGTACTAAGTCTTCTTTATCCCTGTATTCTACCTTGCTTTCTTTCTGTTTCATCCTAAACCATTCTTTTATCTCCTCTGCTGCTTTTTATCCTTCATGTTTTGGTTTGAGCCTATTATATTTTTATGAACATTTGTTGTTTATCTATGCATTAACTTCTTAGTGGGAAAGGGCAGAGGTTAGTTGGTAGGTGAAGTACAGATAGTATAAGGGAGTTGGATATGAGTTGGGATGAGATGGAAAGTTGCATGACAAATAAGAAGAGGTAGATGGAGGTAGGAAGAATTAAAGATTAGGATTTAAATATCTATTTCTAAAAATTTAAACTGATACTTTTGGTAATAACTTAGCTTTATAAATAATATTCACCTGAAATGTTTGTTCTAGCATATAAGTCACATTTTTTTAAGGCAGGATAGGAAGTTCTGACAAAATTTCTCTAGAGTTCTTGTTTACTGTTACTCTTCTATTCATTTCTAAATTCTAGATAGATAATAGAGGAACTTAGGTAATCGTGTTAATTAATAACCATGTAGGATGTCTATTAATAGCAGATAAATTTTCTACTTGAAATTGAGTCTAAATCCTCCCTAAACAGAATGTCCAGATGAAAGTTCTCAGTTTTACAGGGTGCATTGATGAACCTTATAAGGCAAGAAAAGGGAGATTGGGTGGATTTTTAACATTGATTTTGGAATAATACATGATGGAAGCATAAAAAGTTAAATTGGGACCTGAATTTATTATATTTTATTAGTCATCCCAATGACACAGTGAACTTAGTTTAAAAAAACCAAATAACACCTTGTGAAAATATTTAACTGAATGAAAAAATTCTAACAAATATTTTTGATGGATGTTACTTTTAAGTTAATAGAGATCAATACTAACTTATCTTCCTTAGTCTGCCAAATATTTATATTAATCTTACCTGTTTCAGAAACAGTGCTTATTGCTTATATATACCACACATATAAATGACATTATATAATATTAACTATTTCTGACATAGTACATTTATTTTAAATGTAAGGTTTACTTGCACAGCATAGTTCCTTAACATAAAAAGAGTTAATCTGAGATGTAAAACACAAGATATCCTCAAACATGCCAACAGTTTTACCAAAAGTTCATCTGAATTGAAGAAAGAAGCAGATGAAGCAGAAATGGAAATTAATTCATTAAACAAGGTATATATTTTGTTATTGTTTCTAAAATATGTATTAATGTATAATAGTGTGTTAATTGACACCTGAGAAGAGCTGTTAAGATAGCCTCAATGTGGACAAAGGCCAATTGATAAGCTTTAGATCACTTTGAAGCCAAAATGTATTTCAGGTGTGGAATTTATTTAACTCTGAATTTGGGGGAATAGGTTGGCTTTTGGGAGGGCCTGAGGGGAAGGATCAAGATGTAGGTTAAGACTTGTGGTACAAGGCCTCATGCATACTAGGCTCTGGGTTTGATCCACTGGTACTTAAAACCTCTGGCCCTGTAAYAGGAATTTAAAAGCATTGAAAAAGTAACAGTGTTTTCAAAAAGGTGAACAAGATAGTAAATAGTTTAAATAATTTAATCTTGCAAAATTTACAACTGTAGTTTATAATTTTTAGGAAGCCAGTCTAGAACCAGTTAAGCTTTTAAGGTTTTATTGAATATTTTTAGTATCATCCATTGAATTGTGGCTTTGATTCACATAGACACAAGAACTCATCAAAATCATTTTATAAATTTTGAGAAAATATTGAAAATAAAAGTTTCTAAATTTTTTGAAAATTAGATTTTATAGTGATCATTCATAGTTATAAGGTACAAAATAATATCAATATAATTTTATTTTTTTCTAAATATTTGTTTGTTAGTTTTAGGTGGACACATATCTTTATTTTATTTTTTTATGTGGTCCTGAGGATCGAACCCAGTGCCTCATGCATGTTACGCGAGCACTCTACCACTGAGCCACAACCCCAGCGCCCCCAGCAATATAATTTTAATAATGAGAGAAAAATGGATGCTATTTCCTTTAAAATATGTGATAACTATGTCCCTATGTAAATATTCAGTGTCTATTTTGCTTATGATTATTCTTTTAAAAAATGGAAATTATTGATATTTATGATTGAAAATTTAGTAGTAAGGAAAAGTTARAGGGGTATGATTTAATATTGATGTAACTCTTAATGACTTTCAATAGAAGATAGTAAATTCTGCCAAAAATACAAATCTTGTGATTCTACAGAAAAAAATCATATTCATTAATTAAGATAAAACATTCTTCTTTGCAGGTAATTATTTCATTTTCCTTTCCCATTTTTCTTTTTAGCTGATTGCAAGACTTTATGAAACCAAGAATCTTTCAGAAACTCTTGAAGAAAAGAAAAAATGTACAGAAAAGAGAAAGGAATTGAAAGAAAGGTATAGGTAAATTTTAAAATTGAATTTTATGTGACCAGAAATTCTGCATCTAAAAGTTTGATTCTGTATTCTATCCTCTTTTTTTTTTTGTTCTGATTAGTTATACATGACAGCAGAATGCATTTCGTTTCATTGTACACAAATGGAGCACAACTTTTCATTTCTCTGGTTGTACATGATGTAGAGTCACCCATTTGTGCAATCATATATGTACCCAAGGTAATAATGTCCTCATTCCACCATCTTCCTACCCCCATTCCTGTTCTCCTTCCCTCCCTCCCCTTTGCTCAATCCAAAGTCCCTTCATTCTTTCCATGCCCCCTCCCCTCATTATGGATCAGCATCCACTTATCAGAGAGAATATTCAGCCTTTGGTTTTTGGGGATTGGCTTACTTTGCTTAGCATGATATTCTCTAACTTCATCCATTTACCTGCAAATATCAGAATTTTAWTCTCTTTTAATACTGAGTAATATTCCGTTGTGTATATATACCACAGTTTCTTTATCTGTTCATCTATTGAAAGGCATCCAGCTCAGACAGTTTTGCTATTGTGAATTGAGCTACTATAAAAATTGATGTGGCTAAGTCACTATAGTATGCTGATCTTAAGTCCTTTGGGTATAGACAGAGGAGTGGGATAGCTGGGTCTAATGGTGGTTCCATTCATAATTCTCTGAGGAATCTCCATACTGCTTTCCAGAGTGATTGCACCAATTTGCAGCGTACCTTTTCCCCACATCCTCGCCAGCATTTTTGTTGCTTGTATACTTGATAATTGCCATTCGGACTGGAGTGAGATGAAATCTTAGAGTAGTTTTAATTTGCATTTCTTTAATTACTAGAGATATTGAATATTTTTTCATATATTTGTTGATGGATTGTATATCTTCTTCTGAGAAGTGTCTATTCAGTTTCATAGACCATTGATTGGGTTATTTGGGTTTTTTTTTTTTTTTGGTGTTAAGTTTTTTGAGTTCTTTATATATCCTGGAAGTTAGTGCTCTATCTGATGTGTGTCTAGTAAAGATGTTCTCCCACTCTGTGGGCTCTGTCTTCATGTTATTTATCTTTTCCTTTGATGAGAAGAAGCTGTTTAGTTTGAATCCATTCCATTTATTGATTCTTGATTTTATTTCTTGTGCTTTAGTAGTCTGATCAAGGAAGTCAGGACCTAATCTGACATGATGAAGATTTGGGCCTACTTTTCCTTCTATTAGGCACAGGGTCTCTGGTCTAATTCCTAGGTCCTTGATCCATTTTGAGTTGAGTTTTGTACATGATGAGAGAGAGGAATTTAATTTCATTTTGCTGCATATGATTTCCAGTTTTCCCAGCATCATGTGTTGAAGAGGCTATCTTTTCTCCAATGTATGTTTTCTATACCTTTGTCATGCAGGCTATCTTCTATTAATTTCTTATGAAAAATATTAATTTAAGGGGTTAGGGTTGTGGCTCAGTGGTGGAGCACTCGGCTAGCACGTGTGGGGCCCTGGGTTCGATCCTCAGCACCACATAAAAAATAAATAAATTAAAAAAACCTATTGTATTCAACTATAACTAAAAAATAAAATATTTCTTAAAATATTAATTTAAATGTTATGAACTATTATTATTTAGTATTCTTTAGTGAGGCTGAGGATATTATAATTGTAGAGGGAGAGAGGGTAGCAACAGTACATCTGATGCACAAGCCACCTTTTTATCATCTTGTCACCAACTTGTTTAGTTCTTTCTTTATCATGGAGAGTGTAGATGAGCCTATAAATGTGACTTAATCCATGACGTCATATGTTTCCTTGTTTTTCTGTCCTGTTTTTTGATAAAATAGACCTTAGTGGTGGAAGTATGAAGAAAAAGTCATTAATTTTTCTCTTACAGAAAAATAGATGTGTTACTCTTGCTGTTTCTGATTTACTTGCTATTTTTTTTCTTTTTGCCTGTGCCCTTTTTTTATTCTAAATTTCCATTCCTCAGTCTTCATTGCCTTTGTGTTGATTTTTCAGCACACTCTTCTCGAGTTTATTTCCCTGAATCCACTTCCTTGGATCTGTTATTTGCTTGACCTCCTCCCCAACATGTTGCACTCCCACATATCGTATCTATGGCAGTATGTATTTAGTTTTATGATGAAACTARTTTTAAAAAATAGGCAAACATACAGAATTTTGCTTTGCCAAGAATGTTTTAACATAAAATTCTGTATATTGAGAGGAACTTATATATAAATATTTAGTCATTTTTTATTCAGTGTATACAGTAGCACCCCCTTATCCATGGTTTTGCTTTCCATGATTTCAATTACCTGTAGTCAACCATGATCCAGAAATATTAGATAGAAAATTCTGGAAATAAACAATTAAATTGCATGCTGTTCTGAATAGTCTGATGAAATTTCATGCCATTGTACTCTATCCTACCYGGGACGTGAATCATCACTTTGTTCAGTATGTCTAAACTGTATACATTACCTGCCTGTTACTTACTTAGTGGCCATTTCAGTTATCCCATTGAATGTTATATTATCATGGCGCTGGTGTTCAAGTAACCCTTATTTTACTTAAAAATGACCCCAAAGTGAAAGATTAGTGATGCTGGCAATTTGGATATGTTGAATAGAAGCTGTAAAATGCTTTATTTAAATGAAAAGGTGAAAGTTCTTAACATAAGGGGGGGAAAACAGTTATAKGCTTAGGATGCCAAGATCTGTGATTAGATTTATCTGTCCATGAAATTGTGAAGAAGGAAAAATAAATTTATGCTAGTTTTGCTATCATACCTCACACTGCAAAAGTTAGGCCACAGCTGAGTATGGGGGTGCTGCCTTGGGAGAATAAAACAGGAGGATTGCAAGTTGGAGACCAGCCTCAGCAACTTAGGCCCTAAGCAGCTTAGAGATAACTTGTCTCAAAATTTAAAAAATAAATAAAAAGGACTGGAGATGTAGCTCAGTGATTAAGTACTCCTGGGTTAAATCCACCACAGGAGGGAAAAAACTACAATGTGTAATGAGTGCTTGCTTAGTTAAGATGGAAAAGGTGTTAAATTTGTCTATGTATGTATAGGGAAAACTATGGAATATGTAAAGTTTGGTACTGGGGAACTTATCATGTATCCTAAATTGATAAGGTAGAATCAGTATATTTTGATAGCATTTATTCTACTTCATTGATTTAGGAAGAAGTCAATGAAATTATCTTTCAGTAAAAAACTTAAAAGACCCAMTTATGATGTATTACTGTTTTAATGATTTCTGTATTCATGGTAGTTGATTTGTTTCCAAATCAGTCTTTTTAAAGTTTAAAGTACTCTGAAATCTAAAATGTTACTTTTATGATTAGACTTTTGGTTTAAGATGTTTTTGATATGTTTGAAAAGTCGTTAAAAATGACTGTTTGCCGGATGTATTGATGCATGTCTGTAATCCCAGTGACTTGGGAGGCTGAGGCAGAAGGCTTGCAAGTTTGAAGCCTCAGCAACTTAAGAAGGCCCTAAGCAACTTAATGAGACTCTGTCTCAAAATATAAAAAGGCCTGGGGATATGGCTCAGTTGCTAAGTGTCCCTTGGTTCAATTCCTAGTACCAAAACAAAAAGAATGATTATGTCTTAAAAATAAAATTGTGACATACTGAGAAGATTACTGGACTTAATCAGGAAAAGTGTTTTAGCTCTGACACTATTACAGAGTAATTTAATAATATTGTACAAAAGTCTGTTAAAAATCTCTGGAACTGGGGCTGGGGATGTGGCTCAAGCGGTAGCACGCTCGCCTGGCATGTGTGCGGCCCGGGTTCTATCCTCAGTACTACATACAAACAAAAGATGTTGTGTCCACCGAAAAACTAAAAAATAAATATTAAAAAAATTCTCTCTCTCTCCCTCTCTCTCTCTCAAAAAATCTCTGGAACTTAGTTTCATTATTTGCAAAGTGGAGGATTTTAACTATATAGTATCTAAATATCCTTCTAGCTTCAGAATATGTTAATTTTTACTTAGCTCATATTTAATGTAATCTATTCTTCTCTTTAGAATTTTTGAAAAAGATGAGCATATGCTTGTATTGAATAAAATACCTCAAAGCACTCAATTATTTCTTCCTTATGAACCTCATAAATTAGTAAGACCAAAAAAGATGCATTCTTCAGAACCAAGAGTTACAGGTACAGAATTGTTTATTATTTAATAACTTTATTTGTTTGGGTTAAACCCACAGAAGGAGAAATAAAAATAAATTTTAGTTATCATTTGACGTGAGCAAGAACAAAGAATACTGGAGACTTAGACTCAGGAAAGTACTGCTTTGAGTCGGAGAGCAAAATAGAAATGTCTTCTCTACATATTTTTTCCCTCTGAGAAGGAAACTTTTCATATAAAATGTGTTCTGGTTGGGTTGCTCAGCTGTCAGAGGAATATAAATAATTATATATTTTTATTTGAGGAATTATATTGTCATATGTATGATTTCTGTGGGTAGCATACTTGTGTTAATAGTGTTTGAGACTTGGTCATTGAGACATTTGAATTAGATTTAATTCAAGGGTCCATAGATTAACTAGTTTAACTATATTATCTATCTCCCCTCCATAATTACTATTATTACTTTGTCTTTTTTGGTTATGGATTCTAAAGATACAGTTTTGTCAGTTGGTCATTTTATCATTTCATATTTAATTGCTATAATAGTGAATATAGAGTGATAAATTAAGAGATTTGATGTTTAAAAATTGTGTATTTAAATTTAAATTTAATATTCATATAGACTTGATTGTCTAAATGATAAGGTTAGATTAAATGGTGGAGATGAGGGCCAGGGTTGTAGCTAAGTGGTAGAGTGCAAACTTGGTGTGCATAAGGCCCTGGGTTCAATCCTCTAGGTATGAGAAAAAAGTCAGAGATGATGTTTGATTCTATCTTCAGAATTGATTTTAAGTAGTATTACTTAATAATCTAGATAACAAAGAAGAAATTTCTGTGCAGCAGTCAAAGCTTGCCAATATTGACTTCAGACAAAAGGAAAAAGACCCACATGTAGGTATTTCTTTTTAAATAATATAGATTAAATACTTGCTTTCGTTAAATGAGAGTAATGTACTATACTTGAGACAGAGATGTGTGTGTGCAGGTGTGTGTTATAAATATATTAAATCAGCCATTAGCATAACCTTTGGGATCTAAAAAAACTTAAATTTGAATATGAYATTCTGAATATAGACTATAATCTGCTCCATTGCCTTCAAAATAATGGAAAAAATATTTTAAAATACTAAGCCCTATGTCTATTAAACCCAAAACTTGAAAAATCTCTGGAAGAAGAAACACTGATTGGATTGAAGAAGGAAGTTATAACCTGAGACATGCATAGGATAATTCTGTTAACAAAATAGAGATCCAGGGACAATCAATAGAATAATTTGTTGGGCTCCTTCAGAGGGAGTTAAGTAACTTAACTCATGTTCATCTTTGTTTCTCTACTTTGCCTTTGGTCAGCCTCAGTAATGGGATGACTGACTCCAGGTGGAAGCAGTGAATAGGGGAGCATGGGTAAGAGAAACTGGCTCATGTCCTGGGTGGTTCTTGATGCCTGTGAAAAATAAGGACTACACCAACCAAATAACTAACTGCTGATATTGCACATCTTTATTTTCCCTTGAAAACAGTCCAGAGGGAATTCCTCAATGAAAGAAATATTTGTCCTTTCACTGATTTGTAATTAATTCAGACACTAAAATGAAACTTAAGTCTTACAGAAATCTAAAATTACAGATGATTTTAATATGGGATGAAGGTAGATAAATGAGGAAAACAAATGTTTACTGATGTTTTTAATTTTTTGGTGGTGGAGGGGTAGTGGATGTAGGGAGAAAATATATATGCTGATTCAGTATACATTCTGGAAAAATGTAAATTTATGTCTGTATGTCAAATATTTAAGAAAATCATCAGAAGAGAAATGGAAGGTGTACATTTTTTAAAAGTAGAAGAAAAAAGATAAAAATTAGGTCAACAGAGTGGAAACAACAGTTAGCATTTAGATAGAAAACAAACAAGATGCTGGAAAAAGTTCAGAACAGATAAACAATCGTAAAACTCTGACTGGGTTAAACCACTATTAGAAGACAGAGGTACTTGTATGGGATATATTTTAAAAATACAGTTACATACTATTAAAACAGAATAGCTGAAACAATTTTACAAATAAAGGCTAAAAATAAAAAATGGAAAGTATGTATCAGGCAAATACAAACAAAAAAGCAAATATAACAATATATAGAAATAACATTGTCATATTAAATGGAGTTTAAGATGAAAAGCATTAGCAAGGATATATATATTTCTTATTTTTTAAAGAGAACAGTTCATTGAGAAATCATAAAAACCATGTTGCACTAAATTATGCAAAGCAAAAATTGACAGAACATCTATCATAACAAAAACAATGAAATAAACTTTCCATTTAAGCCAGATATTTTTAGGGAAAATTAAAGGCTGTAAATGAACATAATAAAGCAGTGGCTTACATGTTAATATAAAACAAATTTTAKTTAAAAATAAAAATGTAGTATTATCTCTTTCATATGTAAATAAAAAAGAAAGTTCAGACTTCAATCTTTTAATTTGTTCTTTTACTTTTCTGTATTCTGTTTCAAAGGTTTTAGAGGATAGAGGGACACAGAGCAGATCATCTTTTGAGAAATGGCAAGATTTTCTTAATTAGTTATAGTATGAAGGGAATAAATTTTAAAAAGATTTACCTTAACTGTTATAAAATAGTTATTATATTTATGATAAACATCAAATTCATTGAGGGTTTTGAATTGTTTTCCAGTATTTGTATGTTTTATATGTAGTAGTTTCAGTTAATGTATATAAGCATTATATTGCTAATGATGATGATAAGGTTGAAATGCCAATGAAATGAGAGAACCTTGTATAGCTTTAGCAAATATTTATTGTT